TACCTTCTGGTCCTAGATTAGCAATGCTCCTTGCATAGTATCTTTATAGATTCATAACTGTGTGGGTGGGGAGGTCGGGGACATGCTAAACGGCCATGAATTGTGTGTGTCATACACATCATCACGGCCTCTGCTTTTTATTCCTCATGTGCTACCAATTATATAAACACAAACATACACACACCCAACTGACTTCACTGTCTTTTAACCATGCCTCGCTATTTTCAGCACTTCCATTTCCTTTTATAGACAATCATTTGGCACCTTCATATGCATACAGCATAATTAATGGAAAGTAGCCTAAGAAAATTAAATGTCATAATTAAAGATTAGAAAAAATGTTACTTGATTGTCAAGGCTAAACTTAAACTTAGGTCATTGTATTAGGGTTGGCTGCTAGCCTTTTGTCTGTGAAATTTGTTTTGTTGAGTAGTTTTGCTTTCATTCAGATGAATGTTGCTGTTGCTTTTATTTTCCTAATACAGGAAGTAGTAACTCCCATTATTATATTAAGCTGTTTCCTTTCTAAGACACTTTTGCAAGCTCCGTCTGCGCATTTCCTCTGTCACGCTGATCTTATATATTGTGTGTGCTTCCTGAAACCATTTAAGCATTGATGGAAACTATTAGCATGTCAGTGCAGCCTTAAACAGAGAAAGGTTACTTAGTCTAAAGACATTGTTTCCTCTGTTCAAAACCTTTCAGTCTTGTATGATGCTGTATTGCTGCTAATATGGAGTGATTTTCACAAGCAGTTTTAATGAAGAACCTGGTGGGTTTGGGATTTAGAAACAGAGTATATTGACGTTTCGTTTCTGGACGTGGATTTGAATGTGGCTGCCATCAGCCACTGATTCAAAATAGTTCCGTCTGATGCCTGTCCAGTCTGTGCAGTCAGCCGGGCCTCTTAGGTTCATTTTGCCTGAGCAGGTGTTCATGTCACACAGAAAATGCTGTCACCCCTGCCTTTGGCAGATGCTGTCAGGTTAAGTGTTTTCAGCTGAGTTGTGGACTTTAAAATACTATGAAGAATTCACCTCCACCATGGCCCCCACTTGGACGTTTTCTCCAAACTTTGGAGAAAGCGCTGGTTCACCATGTAGAATATCCTGTATCAGACAGTCACACCCAGGAACGATTGTTGAAAGAGGAAAGCGGACATGATTTGTCCTCTCTGGTGATTCTAAGTGCCTCTAAGTTTATTATCTGTATCATTTGCCATCTTTGTAAGAAACAAATTCCAAATACATTGTTGTGAGGTTTTTTTCCCCCTTACTGAATAGAGGAGTATTCAGTTTGATTTAAAACTCTTTCTTGCTTCAAAAGATGCCACTTGAAAATGTCCTAAAATTGACTGTGGTGATGGTTGCACAACTCTGTGTCTATACCAAAAACCACTGAATCATATACTTTAGATGGATGAATTCTATGGTACACGAATTATATCTCAATAAAGCTAATGATAGATTCCCCACGTAAGATTCCCCTTAGCTCAGAATTCTAGCATTTCATAAATAAGCACTGGTGCTCGGGATTAATTTTGCTTGTGGTTCTTTAAGCCTTTTCCTATTTTTCCCCTGAGACTTTGACTTCCTAGCTAAAGAGCTATAATTTTTAACCTTAAAGTTTAACCCTAGGTACATTAATTTATCAATCAACAAGAACATATTTAGCACCTCTCTTGAGTAGCAATAGCCACATTGTTATAGGGACAATGGTAATAGCAGGCAGAGAGGAGAAAATGTAACAGGAATTATTAATAATAAAGTAGCAATTGGAACTGTAGCCATTCTGTTGGTGAAGCACAATAGTGACTTAACTGTGATTGTGGTGACAGGGAGCCAACAATTGAGTCCCCGCTAATGGCCCAACAGGGAAGGGGTTGAAAAGAAGGAAGGAGTGGTTTACATTACAAAGGGATTGTCTGAGAGCTGCTGGAGTGTGGTTATGAGGGGAGGTCGGGCTGGAGACAGAAGGGATGATAACCATGGAGCTGTCAAGGGCATCTCAGGGGCTTAGGCAAGCTCTATGGCAGTTAGACACAGCCGGCCAAGAGCAGACATGTCCCGGCCCTGCATAGTGCTGACTGAGAAAAAGGAAATGCAATGAGAAGATAATTGAACAAACCAGGAGGCCTGGACAAAGCGTCACAGAATTGAAAAGTGCATCTTGGGGCCATCAGAACCTCAGCTGAAAATACTCCCAGCTTCACTTTGACCAGGGTTGGACCACTCTTTGGGGAAAAAGCTGCTGGAAGGGGTGTGTGTGTGTGTGTGTGTGTGTGTGTGTGTGTGTGAATAAAATGCTGTGATTGGCAGATCTATTGTGAAAAGAGTAAGTCTTTGACATCTGTTGAACTTCTCCTTTGTATATTTCCAAAATACACATACACACATGCCCAGCTTTTACCAGATGCTTTGGGGTGTATGATTTTAAAAAAGAAGAACATCTAGACTACATATTCCAGTTGCCTTGTTTGTTCCAGTGCTGTCCTTTACCACATTCCCCCCTCCAGCTGATAATCATGGGTCCCATTTAGTGGTCATGTGTTGGAGAGATGTAAAGGGCAAAATAATATGATGAAGGCAGTGGGGCATAATGTTAAATATTGATGAATGTGAGTAAAGAACTGTTGTCCCTGTGTGACCCCTGCTGACCTCTGTATCTTGATCTACTGAGACTTGTACTCTTACCCACTACATTATAATCCCAGGGGATTCATTTTGTTCCTCGACCAAGTCAAGCTATTCCTTCCTTTAGGCCTTTGTCCTCAGGCCTCCATTTCTCCCTGAGCTGCACACGGATGGCTCCTGCATGTCACCTGACTTCAGCTGAAATGTCACTTCCAAGAGAGGATGTTCTTGCTAACTGAAGTAGTGACCCAGTCACTTTGCATCCCCCATATTAATTCCCTGCCTAGATTCATCACTAACTAGTAATTCTGTCTGTCTTGTTCACTATGGTATCTCCAGCACCCAAAACAGCACCTGACTCCTGGTAAATGCTCTCAAATTATTTGTCAACTGAGTATACTAATCTAAATGTCCAGAAATAGTCATTACCAATGATGGCAATGCTTTTGGGATGTCCTTTATGCAAGAAAAAGCTTCAGAACTCCAATCATAGCACATATATTCAGGGAAAAAACCTTGGCCCTATGTTAGAAAAATGGTGAATGAATGTATATTTAATTCAATATTGAATGTTTATGATATACAAAATCTTTTTTATATTCTTTACTCTGATGAGGAATGTTTTTTATTATGAAATACTGACACATCTTATATTGCTTAAGAAGACAACTATATGCAATGATTCCAATTATATATAAGTAGTATGAGTATGAAAAACCAGAAAGGAAATATATGTAAATAATAACTAATTTTGGGGGGAAAATCAAATTACGAATAGTTTTTCCTTTTTAGTTTTCCAAGCATTCTACATGTGGTTCTATTATTTTTCTAATGTAAAAAATATTTTTTAAGAAGCAAAACATAATTCAGAATAGATATAATCAAATATGAATAAGACTGTAAATGCACTTTGAAGATGGAAGGACTTTCTTGAATTTGGTATGCTTAGTGAATGAAGCTTTAAGGAAGATATCAGTAATGGATCTGGCTTTGCAAAGACTGATCACAATTTTGAGGGTGGACACATGCAACTTTTTTGGGTAAAGAAACAGAATGAACAAAGGTAGGAAGAGAGCAATTAGCACATAGAAGGTGATGAGGAGATAGGTCTATGTGAATGGAAAGCTCCCATTTGGAAGCCAGTGGGTGGTAATCTGGGAGAGTAAGATAGGATCACATTTTAGAAGACCTTTCAAATCAGGCAGACAGGTTTAGACTAGAAGTGGAAAAAAATAAGGAACTACTACGGGTTCTCGAGAAAAACGGTAACATGATTACTTGGGTGTTATGGGGAATTTATTCTGTATAGGGAGTGAGACAGAGCATAACACCAGGGTCCACCTGGCGTCCATAACCGGCACCGCCGTCCATCCTAGCCCAGCTCTGCAAAGACTCTGTCTCCAAATTATCTCCATACAGCCTGCATCTAGACAACATGAATCTGTCAGAGTTGGTGTAGGAAACGTGCTTGTCACCTTCTGTGTGTGGGTCACACTAGAGAAAGATGGGGAAGGGGAAGGAGGATTAGACAGGAAGGCCCAAAGGACAGATTTTAAAGGTTCTATGATTATAAGCAGTATGAGTGTCTTGAAACGTTTCTTGTGTAATTTGTAGGTTTGTGGCTTAATTAGGACCACAAGTAGAGGTCTCTTTTTATAACTCATTATTCAGTTATAATGGAAATGTTTTGCTTTTTCAGGTTTTGCCATTGGTGTGCAGTTTTTAGGCACTGGATTTTTAAAAAGTCTTTCCTTAAATATTTAATAAAACTTGAGAACAGTAACTCCAAGAAATTATGTTCCAGAAACAGATTCCCACCCATTTTTAATCTACATGATTCAGATGCACCTGCTGTGTCCACTCGTGGGAGTTAACTTGTCAGAATATGTTAAGCCACTATTTTGTATTTTTTTTCCTTTAAAAAGGGTGTTGTTTTCTCTTATTTTTTCAAAAGCTGTTTTTAGATTATAAAATCGCAAACAAAATTAAAAATAAAATGAAATTGTCTCATCTTTGGGGGAGAAAAGCTTCTACTCTGTCAGTGTGTGGGCTGTAAGCAGAACAGAATGTTTATCTTGCTACATGTTGAAGATGGAAAATAAAGTTAGCAATAGCCAAAAGGCCTTCTTCTGAATAACTTACCACCAAGCGGAAAGCATAAATCTAGTGGCAAAACAATTCTCCTTTATAGGCTAGTATTTCTTGGACAGGTCTGAGAACATTTAAAATTTCTTTTCTGTCTACTTGATAGGATCAAGATAACCTCCCCTAACCTTGACTTCAAGGTTTGGTTTCTGGACCATAGGCAATTGAGTTTTTTTAATTGATCTTTTTTTCTTTTTTTTCCTTTTCATTATCATGATCAAGAGCTTACAAGACCCTATGAAAAAACTGATTGAGAAAGAAGAAAGGAAGAAGATCACCCAGCAGGAAAGTGCAGAGGCCACCGTGGAGGAACCCAGGCAGTAAGTCCCGGCTGCTTCTCTAGGCAAAATCTTTATTTCCACAGTCAAGAGCAGCACAGTCCTCACTGGCCAAATCTGCTGGGGTCTCAAACACAAGCAAATTGCTTTATTTCTCACTTCTCTGGGTTGATGTATTAAGATGAAGCCCAGACTTGTCCTGCACATATTCCTGCTTGGCCAGGACTCATCCCAATAGGAGACCGTTTCTGAGATTTTAGAAAGAGCACACTTGTGAGGAGTTGACTGGGACAAGAAAAGGCACACATCTCCAGTGCTCTCTGGCTCTCCATCTAGTGGCCTCAGCCTCAGCTTTCTGCTCTCTCAGGCTTCTGGACCCAATCTGGTCCTTTTGTTACCATCATTTACAAAATCCTGTCCCAGATAAGAAATCCCCTGGCTTTTCTCTCATCAAAGGGAATAACCTATGAGATTGCCTCTTGAGATACTGATACTAAGGTGTCATCATACAAAAGCGTTGGGTTCTGACATTTTGTTTCCTTACTGTTCAGACCTTCTGTTTTTTCCTCTGTGAATTAGAGAGTAGTTTTGAGTGCAGTAGTTTTGAGTCCATTTCTTGCCACTTTTACATACTGAGACAAATTTCTCAACATCTGTGGTGTATGATGTGTCCTGACCTCGTTCAGCAAGGAGGTTTCAGCGTGAATCTTTTCCTATTGAGATATCAGGGCTTGCAGGAATAGGGTTAGTCTTGAACTGGCTGACCTAGAAAAGTAGATTGCCTTCCCCACATTTGGGATTCTTTCTCCACACAAAAAAAATTTAGATGATAATTGTGTGGTAAAACTGGTTTGTATTTTAACTGTGTTTCTAAGGTTTCAAATATGTATTTTGGTCCCACAGAAGTGTTTGCACCCAGTATTAGCCTTTTTAATTTTATTTATTTATTATTTAATTTTTTAGTGGAGGGAGGGGCAGAGAGAGAGTGAGAGAGAGAAAATCTCAAGCAGACTCCCCACTGAGCATGGAGCTTGATGCATGAGATCTGAGATCATGACTCAACCTGAAATCAAGAGACAGATTGAATCTTAACCAGCTGAGCCACCCAGGCAAGCCTTTTTAAGTTTAAAGCAAATACTAGAAAATTCCTTTAATATAAAACAAAGACAAGTTTTCACTGTGAGAACAGCTATAGAATATGATCTGAAACTAATACAGTTGACTATTTTGGGGGGAAGCTGTTTAATGTATTCCTGGTATAATAGTAATGCTTATTAGTACCCTATGGTGAGCACCTACTGTGTAAGTACTGTGTAAGTACAGTATCAGGTGCTTTATTATATGTTATCTCTACTCATTCTCACAGTACCCCTTGGGTAATCAATGCCAGCATTTCCTCATTATTTAAATGATGGCAGTGAGGCTCAGAAGAAGTTAAGGGGCTGCCCAAGCCCCTGATGCAGTAAGAGGCAGGACCTGGAATGAATGCTGGTACCTTCCTTTCACCATATATGTCACTGTAATCAAAAGAAAGTATTAACTTTTACTTAGAAAGGAGACACCCAAGATTGTCTTGATTAGTTTTCCTTAATTTCAGGTTTCTCCATTATTTTAGTACTTTATTTTTTTAAAAGCGCAAAAAGTGTGGTGCCTGGGTGGCTCAGTGGGTTAAGGCCTCTGCCTTCAGCTCAGGTCATGATCCCAGGGTCCTGGGATTGAGCCCCATATGAGGCTCTCTGTTCAGCAGGGAGCCTGCTTCCCACCCCATCTCTCTGCCTGCCTCTCTGCCTACTTGTGATCTCTGTTTGTCAGATAAATAAATAAAATCTTTTTTTTAAATAAATAATAAAAAAAAAATAAAGGCTCAAGAAGTGTAATCCAGTAACTAATTTAAATACAAAATGGAAATTTAACAAGTTGGTTTTTTGTTTTGTTTTGTTTTGTTTTTTTCAAAAAACAGTAGGTAAAGGTGCTTTAGAGGGAGGTTCAAAGGTACCAGCTGAGTCTCAGGGTGGTGATGTATCTCTGCGTGATAGTAATCACTATGGTGAGAGTTCAGTAGGCGACAGTCTTCTGGATTTGAGACCCATCTTGCTTTTCAGCCTTAGGTAATTTCACTAACCTCCTGAGGTTTCCTCTCTTATAACAGCAGGAATCAGAATAAACACCCATTTGCCCATCAATTTTTTAACTATGTTTTTTAAAGCGACAACTATACAGCATCAATTTTAGTTATATTATCTGCTTAACTAGATATTTACAGAATATATGACTTACGATGAAATCAAACTCAGTTATTAAGGTGCTTCTAACCAGCCTTAGGAGAGGAAAAAGCCAGCAAATGTTATTTCTTCTTAAAAAAATGAATAGCATGGGGGCACCTGGGTGGCTCAGTGGGTTGAAGCCTCTGCCTTCGGCTCAGGTCATGATTTAAAGATTAAATAATCTTTAAAAAAAATGAATGGCATGTAAATGACTGTGTTTAATTGTGTGTGCATGTATTAAAGTGCAGTTATATTATACAGAATATCTGGCTTTATCGTAAATACAAAATTTTCAGAACTAGATTACTAAACTCTTTTTTTTTTCTTTCTAATTTTAAGGTTAATTTCATTAGAGGATGAAAACCAGCACAAGGAGTCTTCTAGTTTTAAGAGTAAGTTTTGATTTTTATTTAGAACTGCTTCTGAAATGCTACTGCTCGGCAACCAATTCGTTTTCTTTTTTGGCAGATTCCGCCTAGGCCTTTCTTCTTTTCCAATTGAAAAAATTCTTTTTTTTTTTTTTAAAGTTTTTTTTATTTATTTATTTGACAGACAGAGATCACAAGTAGGCAGAGAGGCAGGCAGAGAGAGAGAGAGGAGGAAGCAGGCTCCCTGCCGAGCAGAGAGCCCGATGCGGGACTCGATCCCAGGACCCTGAAATCATGACCTGAGCCGAAGGCAGAGGCTTAAACCCACTGAGCCACCCAGGCGCCCCTCAACTGAAAAAATTCTACACTGATTTGCTTTTTTTTCTTTCTTTCTTTCTTTTTTTTTTTTTTTTTACCATTTCAGTTTTGAATTTTCAAATATCAATGATACTGACGATATCGCGTTATTGAGAGAAGGTTTTATATTGTGAGCCAGAAAATAGCACCATTAGTCACTTCAGCAGCAGCCTGTCAGAGGAGCATCCAAAATGGAGAATGAACAGAGAGCGATTTCTTTTACAACAGATGATAACACTTCTGCTATTGCCGTTACTAGTTCTAACTGCCATTTGGGCTGTAAAGATAGTTTTAATAAGATTACATGATCAGATTGGGTGAGTCGGTTTCCAGTGTGTTGTGGGGTGGGGGTTGGTCTTTGTTGAGAACAGATGGGGAGAGCTCAGACAGGGCTCTTGCTGGCACTTCCTGGGTCTGCTCTGTCATGAGTAACATCAGCTCCCTTGGGTGTGCTGACCCCCCGATGGTCGGGAAGGCGATCAGAACCTTCGGAGATGATGCAATGTGCCGTGAAAGGTTTGTCAGCTATTCCTGGCTCCTGCGATGACAGCCAGTTCTTTCACTGGTTGTTCTCGTAATGGAATAGAGGGTCCAGTAAAACATGGTGGGACTAAGGTGATATAATGCTGAGCTTTTCACTGGGACTTGAATCCTCAGGGGTGCAAGGGAAAGCTATATAGGTAGTGCACAGAGAACTGAAATTACCTCTCCTCAGTCTGGCCCTCCCGGGGGCATATCCGCCTTTGCCTCACTCTACCCTTTGCTGTGGCAGCCCTTCCAGGAAATAATAGGAGGCAAAGCAGACCCTGGGACTTCCTTTCTCTTCTATTCTTTTCCTCCACCCTCTACCTTCCTTCTGTCTTTCCTCCCACTTTCTTAACAATTTGCTTCACCACTTCATTCTTCCACTTTACGGCTTCCTTTGCTTCTCTCTCATCTACCTTTCAAAAGAAAGCAAAAACCTCTCCCCATCTGCCTCTTTAACTTGCCTTCATGTCATCATTTCATGCATGTACACCCTCACTTACTCACATATTTGCTCATTTGTTCAATAGATATTGATTTCAAAATTTTGTTTATTTGAGAGAGAAAGAGCACACATGAGCAGGGGGAGGGGCAGAGGGAGAGGGAAAGAGAGAATCTCAAGCAGACCTTCACTGAGCACAAAGCCAATGCAGGGCTTGGTCTCACAAGAGACTATGACCTGAGCCAAAACCGAGAGCCAGACACTTAACCAGCTGAGCCACCCAGGTGCCCCTGTTCCACAGATACGTGTTGAGTGATGCCTGTGTGGCAGGCACAGCAGTAGGCTCTGGGCACACAGTAGTACACCAGATGTATTCAGACCCTTCCCAAGACGGGGTTCACAGAACAGGAAGCTGGTGGAAATCTAATAATTTGCACAAGTAATTGGGCAACTCTAACTTTGTTAAGAGCTGCGAGGGTCCTTGGCATGTGCAATAGGGAGACCCCACCTGTTTAAGGGGCTCACAGATCTAGCTAAGTCAAGTGCTGTTGCAGGAGCTATCAAAGTAAAATTAACAGCCTGGGCAAAGACTATGAGCCAGGGAGGACCAGGAGAAAGTCAGAAGGACACTATTCTAGAGCATGAGACAAGAAGCAAGTGGCAGAAGAAGACAGAAAAGGAAGCCAACCTGATGTTGGCCACATAAGAGCTCTCTGAATGTATTGATCCCCACCTCCAGCCTAACTATCTTTTGGGTGTCGACAGCATTAATTAGGTTGTGGGAATCTAGAAGTATTATAGTTTTGAGGGAAAATGCAAACTCCAGTTTATTATATTTGTTTTCTCAAGTTACATGTCAATATAAATCATGTCTTTATATGAAAGAATCAATTTTTTTCTTTCTTTGTGTAGTGTGTTCACTTGTTTGTGGTATTTGCATAATATTTTGAGATTGCAAATGTTGATCACTTTGTTTTAGGTATACATAGAATGGAATACACCATAATGAAGTGTCATCTGTCTTTTATTTTGTGACCTGCAAAAAATCTAACGTACATGTGTGCAAACCCAAGGTTTATTTTTTATTTTTTTAATTTTTTTATTCATCTAGGAGAGAGAGAGAACATGAGTAAGGGGGAAGGGTCAAAGAGAGAGGGAGAAGCAGACTCCCCAGTGAGCAGGGAGCCCGACGCAGGGCTAGATCTTAGAACAGGATCATGACCTGCACCAAAGGCAGATACTTAACCAACTGAGCCACCCCAAGCAAACCAAGTTCTAGGACTGTTGTATTGTGTTGTATACACACACAAACACACACACACACACACACACACGTGCGCACGCGCATATACACAGACACATACTTGATTACTTAGAGTGGTTTTTAGTTTAGAGAAAATTGGGCAGAAGGTACAGAGATCTCCTTATATCCCCTATCCCTACATATGCATTATCAACATCCCCTACCAGGGTAATACATTTCTTATAATCGATGAACCAACACTGACCTATCATTGCCACTCATAGTTTAAATTAAGGTGCACTCTTGGTGCTATGCGTTTTATGGGTTTTGACAAATGTATAATGACATGTATTCATCACTAGAATATTATACAGAATAGTTTCACTGTCATAAAATCCTCTGTGTCTCCTTGTCCATCTCTCCCTTCCTCCAAACACTGAGCAACCACCAATCTTTTTACTGTTAAAATAGTTTTGTCTTTTCCAGAATTCTGTATAGTGGGAATTATGCTGTATATAGCATTTATAGACTGATTACTTTCACTCAGCGATCTGCCCTTTTTATTTTGGCCAGGCCCCAAATGGCTGAGGTTTGTAGCACCATCAGTAGTCAGTTACTTAAATCACACGTTTGTCCATGAAAGGAGAATTTTTAGGTCAGTGTCATCTAGGTTTCTACCAAACAAATCAAAGATCCGAGGTTGTTAACTCAGAACTCCTTGAGAGCCAACAGCTTGAGCAGAATGTAATCTCAGGACCCCTGCTTCTGTGTGAGGAGCTGTCTGTTTACCTTACACTGCAAGACCATATGAACACACACCCCATTCTGAATTGGTGATAACCAAATGCATGTGTTCTATTTACAGCTGAAGATGGAAAAAGCGTTTTATCTGCCTTAGACAAAAGCTCTACACATAATGCATGCTCAGGTAATCTAGATTAAGGAAAATGACTCAATTTTAATAAATTTGACAAACTCCTTACCAAATGAAACTGACTCATAATTTTGTTTTCTTTCCCTTCTTCTATTGGACCTGTAGATGAACTATTAGACATGAAACCCGAGGAAGGTGGTAAGATTTATACATTTCTTTAGGGTTATAATTTAACTTTTAATACTGTTTTTATTAGGAAAATGTAATGTTTATATTTTGAATAGCTTTGCATTCCCAAGCAAATTGTTTTTAGGTGACTGTCATTTGTCTTTATAAATGACTTTAAATATGCTCAAGCACAAGTTAGTATATATTTGTTAGTATATATAAGTTAGTATATGATTTGTCATCCTTAGTTTAATTACATAATGTTCGAACTCCTAAAGCTAAAAGTTATGACATCAAAAGTCATCTGCTGTAGTAGAAAAAACATGGTTCGTGGAATCAGACCTGAACTTGACTGTCAGTTCTACTATAAAACTATCTGTATGGCCTTAAGTAATTTGCTTCATGCTTGAACTCCTTCAGCCTCCATTGCTTTCATTACAACGTGGAACCAACAGCAACAGTCTTGCTGGGTTGTTGTCAGAATTGGAGATCATGTATATGGAGGGTCTCTTGTGGCCTCTGACACAAGGACACTCTTGAGATGGGAATCATTTGAGATAGCACTAGAAACATTGTGCTGCATCTACACTGAGTCTTAGTTAAACAGAGGAAGAGTTTGCCTGGCCAGGGCACCCACCCAAGTTCAACAGACCTAAAATCGCTTAGTAAATAACTACCCCCCCACCAAAAAAGAGAATCCAGAGGCATGGATCTGGATGAGTCACTCATTGTCTTAAGTTACCCCAGGAATTTGAGTGCGTTCAGCCTGGTAGAACCGTTGCTTTTGTCCTACCAAGTGTTAGCTTCTGATGATTTATCATGAGTCCAAAATACCCCTGAAATTCTGAGACAAACTCTAGTGTACCCTCTGTCCTGGGTGGCTGGTTCACAGCCTGCCCTGGTTTTACAGGTTTCTCATAGGACTGGAAATGGGGCAAGATTATCCTGAAGGCCCCAGTTAACTAGGGCAGACAATTTTCTCTACTCAGTTTGAGCTTGATTGGGGTTTAATCTCCAAAGTGTGAGAGGATTAAAGTCTGGCAAACAGAAGGCATTGGTTAAAGTTTTTTCAGAATTGGAAAGGCAGTAGAGCTCCTGCATTAGGTTTCCAGGGTTTAGGATTATCAACTTGAGGGAAGAAACCTGCTTTCCTTACTTATTTCTCACTGCAGGCAATACACTGTACAATATCTCATGAATGTCCCTATGTATTTTTGTCACAATGACTACTTATTTGTAAACATTGCATTTACATCAGATTATGAAAGTAAAAAGTGAATAGTTAAAAGCAGACCTTCACTACCTGGTCCCCATTTTCTTTTTCTCTCTCTCTCTTTTTTTTTTTTTTTAAGATTTTATTTATTTATTTGGCAGACAGAGATCACAAGTAGGCAGAGAGGCAGTCAGAGAGAGAGGAAAGGAAGTAGGCTTCCTGCTGAGCAGAGAGCCCCATGTGGGGCTCAATCCCAGGACTCTAAAAATGTTTCCCCCTTGGCTATAAGGATTAATTACTTTGATAAATTAAAGGAAAATTTCTTACATGTTGTTGTTCTTTTTTTTTTTTTTTTTTTTTTTTTTTGGAGGGGGAAATATTTCAGTCTTGCACAGGTGGGCTACAGACAATAATATAACACTCAGGAGGGGCCCACCATCTAGTTTTAGCAAATCTCCACATTTAGCTGGTTCTTTGTAATTATATGTATATTTCAGCTTGTTTTGGTAGGAAGATTGTTATTTCTCCTTTTGCCAACATCTTATTTATGTAATTTGTTCTTTGCTTTTATTAACTCCTATTTAATTTCATTATTTTAATTAACATAATTTTTGAATTAGGTATATTCACATTGGTACATGATAATGATAATAAAACTGTAGGCAATAGAAAACTCTGACTCCCATTTCCGCTCTCTGCTCTTCCCTATTCCAGTATTCCCATCCCCATTCTATCCTCCTGGCATTTCTTTATGTACAGTACAAGCAAATATGAGTCTGTATTCTCATGTGTCCCCCTTCTTACAAAATGGGTTCTTGCTTTTGGATTTTGACTTTTTCAACTTGGGTAGTAAAGTACAATAAAAACTCCCGCAGTAGCTGTGCATTTCTTTGCAGAATTAAATCAGAAATGCTACTTCCTGTGATATATGCTTACTTTCATAAACTTATTCTAGAGCATGAGTCATGGGTACACTGGAATAAGACTGATACCTTTCCACCTATTTAGAACTTTTATATCTCATTGGTTTATAGTTAACAGTCTTTGTTTCACAGAATAGAGGCTCATACCCTTTTTTTGAGCACTCATGCAATTCTAACAATAGAGAGGTGCATGTATTCTTCTCCAGAATGTTTACTTGTTTTCAGGCAGAAAAGTTGATTTACAGACTGTCTCAGTTAAATGCAGTGTGATGTAATCTCTCATTTCCCTTTATCACTGCCAACCCATAAAGCCCTTCTTGAGGCATGAGCGGTGCTTTGTCACTATCTGACTCTTCTGCATTGGCAACCCCTCGGGCAGCATCAGTTTAAAGATTAACGCGACCACAAGTACAGAAATACTCTGTCAGAGCACAGAACTTGCAGCGACTGAAGAAAAGAGCACACGATAATTAGTTGACTTCAAAATGTGCCCTTCAGAAAACTGCCAGAAGGCCCAAATCCTGAATTAAAGCACTGATTATAATATGCAAGACATTAAACAATCAAGAAATAAAAAGAGCTTAATCCAGGGATGGCTGCCTTTATAGGACTTGGGGGCTATAAGCTCTAGTACCCAGCTGCTTGGGGACCAGTTCATTCCCACTGGTAATTCTGTTAGACAAGTAATGGCCAAGCTGTGGCACAATGTTATCGAAAAGCGAACTGCTTATAACAAGAAGAAGACAATTCTCCAGGACTGTTGCGCAGAAAATCACTCTGATTCAGTGTCATAATGAAATGTGTTTTCTCCTACTAAATAGATAATATAAATAGAAAACCAATATTTGGCCAGTTGATAAAAATTTTTAAGTTAAAAAAAAAATCAACTGAGTGACATTTTCCAATAACTTGAAAGTGGCCCTAAAATTGCCTTGTGACCACATGTGACAATTGCAACCTCAACTCATGAATTAGTTGTAACATATAGAAGTTTTTGTGTTCCTCAAAGTTGGGCTAGCAGAAAAGTAACTGAACCGAAAGCAGTGGTATGAAGCAGAGAGAGTTAGATGAACTTAGCACACCTAAATCTCATTACTTGGATTTATCCAAAAGATCCTTTTCTAGGACAAGGTTAACTGAAATTATTAAGAATTTTAAGTGTACACATTACAATTAAAATGTATTGTCTTCTGCCATTTCTTTGGTTACTACTTTCAAACTTGTGATTCTAAATTCTGAATTAAATTTCAGAACAACAAAGAAGGTCATTCAAAGGCATACTTAGGTCTGGGTGCAGATCTTTAGCCCTTAATAGTAATATAAGCTTATGTCCCGATGCCTCGTTTCCCAAGATGTTCGGGACTATCTCTTGCTGTTCTCCGTACAGAGCTGACTAGGGATCTCATTGCTTCCTCACATGTAGTGAAGCAAAGACTAAGCTTGTTATCTTTTCTCATCAACTTTCCCTTCTCCCTGTCTCTCTCAGCATTGGAGGATGAAATTCTGGTTTTGGTCCTTTCATAAAATAATGGTGCAGTTTTAAAACCAAACACTCTACTGTTCTTACTTGATCACCATGGAATATTGTATATGGATTTATTCCTGCCTCAGGTGTCAAGTTTCTCAGTAAATTGCTTGCTTGTTAAGCTCCTATGCTGAAATGGAGGACCAGGGCTGGGGATCATCAAGAAATATTTTTTGAATGTCTCCTCGGGGTCTGGCACTGTTGGGATTTTGTTTTCATTTTTTTGGAGGGTGTATGTATGTGTGTATCCCAGAGAGTGGATAGAGAGGGATTTCCCCCCATCTGTTATTATTATTAGCTGTGTCTTTTTTCACCAAAAGGGAGTTTTTAGAAGTAGTATTCTTGGATTCCACACCAGTACAATTTGTTACCACACCTTTTATAAGGATGAATACTTTTCTCGTTAGACATTTTTGTACGGTGGTTTCCCACCTCATCTTTCTCCCCCATACTCTCTGTTGGGAGGTGTGAGGGCTGTGTTGGTTGTTGGGGTTTTTCATGTGTATTGCAAGTGTGCAGCCTTTGCACTGTCATAATGCTGAGAGTGGGGACCAGGGAGAAAACCAAAGAAACAGTGTCTTCCTGTTTCACACACAGATGAAGGTAACTTATGTGACATTTATCTCATTGTTTTCCTGTGCTCTCATTTTTGGTCTATGTAGCTATGTTTCCAACTTCTGTGTTCCTAATTCATGCTGAGGTCATGAAACTCTGTATGATTTCAAAACTATAACCTGAGTGGGCTGTCACCAGTTGCCCACATTTACTTTCTGTCACCCACCCTCTGTCTGAACTTAAGAGAGCTTTCTCTGTATGTCAGTTTTCACTCTGAAAACTCACTGGGTCAGAATCAGAGTGCATTGGCTCAGAATCCGTTTTCCTGGGGAATATTTTCCCAGGGGCATAGGATTTTTATTTTTGAACCCTTGTGCAGTGTGCAGCAAACATGCTGAGTGGGTCTGCCATCTCAGCCATTCTGCCGTGCTGCCTGCAGCCAAGAGCTTTGCCTGGCTGGCAGTGGAGCCATCTGACCTTAGAAATCTTCAAAACTTTACAAAAGTTTGAATATTCACTTATACATGACATCTTTAACAGGCTCTGCGCATCTTTAACCGCACTGAGAAAACATCTTGACCTATGAGCTAGGGATCCCCAGCCAAATAATATGTAACTAATAAATTATATGACCTTTGGCAGGCCATCTAGCTTGGGTGTCTTTTTCCTTATTGGCAAAGTGACTTACAGGTGGTAATTTCCAAGAACCCTTTCAGTTAAGTATGAATCTCTCTAGGCATCTCACTGGGAGAAAACAGCAGGTTCCCAGACAGGAAGGCAGGAAAGTGTGATTGAGAAATGGCAGATGTGGTGGGTTTTTGCCGAATCGTAGGCTTCCCTGAAGGATTTGCTAGCAGGGCTACATTAGAGCTGGACTGCAGAGGTCCTGAATACCACTGTAAGGAGTGTTACAGAGGGAGCCTTTGAAGGTTTTTGAGTAAGAAGTTATAATCTCACAGCTAAACTGAGCAAAGGTATACAGCGAGAGGGTGCTTTTTATGGAGTGCCAGTAGGCTTGCCAGTGGGCAAACCCCAAAGGACCTTCAAGTCAGGAGTTTGCCATCAGAGTTCAAAAAAACATGGAATTGGAGACAGAGATTTGAGAATCTTCCCAGGTGAGACTGGAAACATGAGAATAGGTAAAATATTTTGTAGATAATGTAGGAAAGGGAGATATGGTTTAGGAGGAAACTTCAGGGTAACTAGAGTAGGAAGAGGCAGCAGGAACAGTATTGTCAAGGAGATGGAAGGACATTTAAAAGAGCCATTTCATGGAGACCCCAGGAGATGACAGCATTTCCAGAGTGGGCAACAGGGCAAAGTGCCACAGGGGGTGAGGGCAGAGAAAAGGGGATTGGAATCGGCCACAGGGATCTCACTGGTAACCCTCAGGAGGGCCACTTAAGTATGGAGTGGGGGCAGGAGCTTGACGACGGGCTGCTGAAACAAGAATGGTTGACAAAACAGTGTGTGGCTATAGAAGGAGAAGCAACCAGAGGGGCAATGTTGGGGGTGGGATAGGGTGCCAGAGGAGACAGGAATCACAAGATGGAATATGTACACATCTTCTGAGGTCAGGAGAGGAAGCCTTGGAGAGAGAGAGAGACTACAGATGCTGGAGCTGAATCCCGGTGGGAGCAGAGCAGGCTCCCAGCAGGAGGGGAGAGCGTAGAATGGACTATGTTAAAAAGAAGGAAGGAATGCATGAAGGGTCAGGGTCATAGAGCTGAAGGCTGGGAGGTGAGAACTAGAGTTTGTTGTTGGCCTCTGTTTCTATAATAACGTCAGGAGTTGTGTTACCTGATATGAGCGTGAACATGGAGACTCAGGAACCTGCCAGAGCATGAAGGGGACTTGGAGTTGTATCTGTGGGTTTGGCACCTGAGAGCTCCAGAAACCCTGGTTCACCCTTGAAAGATGGGGCACCGTAACCCAGGAGCAATACTTGCTCAGCTCCCTGGAGAGAAGCCCTGACTCCACCTGTGCTGCCCTTCCCGGGGCTTCACTCAAAGAGCTTATTCTCTTTCTCTGTGTCCCGTTTTCTCACAGTTGAGTTGAATTATTCCCAAAGAAAATGATAGCTTGATTCTTAAGAGCCAACTGACTAGTGTTATTTTTCAAGTCTTGACATGTCTGGTTACAGACCTAAACCTGTCCTTTTCTACTTGTAATTAAATTTTTCTTACAAGTTATGTATAGTAATTTCAAGCATCTTAATTATCAGGGCAATAATTGGGCTTCCCTATTTTCTGGTTCAAGTCAGTGCCAGTTTCAGTGCTTTTAGGGAAGTGATAAGTTCTCTTAGAAAAAATGTCCACTGTGTAGCTCACTTGAACAGTTAAATATTACCAGGACACTGATAGGCCAAATTCAGTGGTCAACCTCCAACTAAATAATCGGAACTAGCTCTAGACAGTATCATCCTCACCAAGGGTCCTTTTCTCATTTCTATCAGTAAAGTTGAGTTTGACAGGATACACTATTAGTCAGGAACCTTTTTGTTGGAAGTAACAGAAACCCCTCTCTAAGTAGTTGAGCTTTCCAATTAAAAAGAAAAGATCATATTGGGAATTGGTCCCTGAAACTCCAAACATACAGTAAGGAATTGGCTTCAAGCGAGGCTGGGTCTGGGGCTTACACAGTGTTGTCAAGATTCTCTTTCCAACTCTTGGTGCTGGTTTGCCCTATGTTTGGCTCCCCAGGAGCCTCAAAACTGCATCTTTAGAACTTGGAATCTGAATGAGAGACCCTCCTCAGAGACACGCCTCTGGCGTGTGCCCATCACTGAGCCAGTCACCATGGCCTGAGAAATGGGGGAGGCTGGCCAGCCTAGGTGAGGGGTGTTGGGGCACATGTGTCTCACCAGGATCCTGTGGAGAAAGTGTTTCCCAAAAGGGAAAACTGAAGAGGAGGAGGGAAGGGATGCTAAGTTAACGAAACCCACAGAAGTCCACTCAATACCCTCCCACACGACCTAAATAGTATAAACAAAGAGCTTTTGCAGTTTCTGGTTGGTTTTGGAAAGCTCAAAGTTTATTACTTATCGTTGCTGATGTTAGTCATGATCTTCCCTGGACTGACATCTTGATGGAAGCAGGGAAGCCTCTCCCAGGGTTTGACTGAGCACAGGGCTGTGAAGTGACTTCAGGAAGTGCTCATCTAAAGTCATCCCTTCCTCTAGAGTCTACTCTTTGATTGGAATTGGCGCCAATAAAACAGGTTTGATTCAGCAATCATCTGGTTTCAGTCAGGCCAGAAAGTAAACCACGAGAAAAGGTTTGGGTATTCCAGTTCCAACGGAAAGCAGAAAGTACAGAGATTTGTGAAGTTAATATGTGTAAATGGAGTGATACTGGGAGAGGTTCAGAGAGGGAAGGAGAGGGTTGCATAGCCAGCTGCATGTTGAGGAACACAGCCAGGCTTCCTGCCTGCATTCAAATACACAGGCTGTCCTTCTGCCCACCTGCCTTTCCACCTTTCACAAGCCAAGGTGGGTCCTGACTGCCCACCCTCCTACTGCAGAGCCGTCTCACAGCCTGTTTACGAAAATGCCATTTCCCTCATTTACTCACCACCCCTCCTTACAGGCTACGTTTCAGTGCAAATTTCTGTGATAACACAAACAATAAGAATACTTAAATTAGACAGTTGTCCAATTGAGGTGATATTTTGCTGCTATTTTTAAACCATAGTGATAGGAGAGTGTCTGGACTCCTCCCTTCCTGGATATATAGCTAGTCTGCCTAGCACATCAAAAATCCTCTATTAGAACACCATTGTTTTAAGTGTTGTTGAAAATAGATTCGGTAAAGCTGACAGATAAGCTGTATTCCTTTAAAAAAAAAAAAACAAAGCTGTCACTTACTAATTACCTCATATATTTGAGGAAAACTTGTTAATTTTCACTTAATATGACAGTATCAGAATTGCAATGTAGCACAGAGAAAATATAAATCATGATTATTCCTTCTTTTTGTGACTTCCAGCAATGTTTGCAGTTTCCCTGTGGCAATTAGATACTACAGCAAAACCACAGTTAATAAGACCATCCGTCCCTAGTGTTCAAAACAGATGGAAAACCCAGCAAAAAGTCTTGTAGTTTTTCTGGTTAGTGATGCCCCCATTTTACTTGTGTGCCCTGTTCAGTATTTTGTCAGTGTTCATATTGTAAGAATGGATCTCTTCTTTAAAGTCTCCTTTGTGGATAAGCAATGAGATTTTAAGGTGTATTTCTTTTGGTCTTCCTGACAATGCTTTAAGGTGGGCATTATTCATATTATAATTTACAGGTGAAAAAACAGAGGCCGGGAAGAGCTAAGGGTCTTGCTGTAGTCACACAGCAGGAATGGTCTCAGGCCTTCCCCTCTGGTCTTGAACTCATTCCAGAGCTGTGTCTCTGGCAGATCTGATGTTTGCCCTGTTTTCCTGTCATTCTTTCACTGCTGCCCTCAAGCACACCAGACCCACCTTTCCTTTGCTTTGGCAAGGACTTGTGGTTGGGTTGCAGTCAGTTGCAGCAAAGGAGAAGGGAAGCCAGTGGCCTTCTTTGGTCATCGATGGATGTCCTGACATCCTCCACTCCTGCCCAGTGTGTGGCAAGGGTCCTCACCCCATCCTGGATGATACGGCAGGCGCCCACATGGTGTGTTGGCTGTGGATTTAGGGCTTATTGTGTGAGAAGATTCCGGAAGCTATGCAAACAAGGAACGAAAATCTCTCACATGCCTTCAATCCTGGCTTTTCTTCCTGTTTGAGAAATGTTTTGGTGATAAATTTACTTTTACATTAAGAAAAAACCAAAACCCTCGAGTTTTGGTGGAAACTGTTTCAGTACAATTCTAATGGTGCTCAGAAACAACTTGCTTTGGAGGAACAGAAATGAGGGACCACGGGACTAGAAATTGAATTCCGAAATTTCTTAAGAGAAGCTATAATGAGAATAATTTAGAGCTTGATAAACTTGTTCTTAAATCTAGCCATCACCCAGTCTGTCCCATCCCAGCCCTCACTGCATTTACTCCCAAGGGCTTTGGCCCTGGGTGGTGAGGTGTTTTGTGCTCTGTTACTTTGATCAGCTTGCCTGGGCCCAATGGCAGGGACCCTAGAACCTGACGCTGCTGACAAAGATGACCTGCTGCTGTTGAATGAGATCTTCAACGCTTCCTCCCTGGACGAGAGTGAGTTCAGCAAGGAGTGGGCTGCTGTGTTTGGAGACGACCGGCTGAAGGAGCCCGTGCCCACTGTGGCCCCAGGAGAGCCAGACCCCCGGCCCCAGACGGGTTCAGGATTCCTTCCTTCGCAGCTTTTAGACCAAAACATGAAAGACTTACAGGCCTCACTACAAGGTATGTACCATGGGGATTGAAATAGGTTTTTTTTTTTTTTGGTTTGTTCATTCTTTATTTTTAATTCAAAGGCCTCTTTCTTCCTTCTTTGTCTTTTTTTAATGTTTTCTGATTTTTATTTCATATCTAGTGTCTTTTTGTTGCTGTTTTTTCATCTTTGTATTTTTCTTTCATATCCAGTGACTTTTTAGTTGAAATCTCAGAATCATATTCCACCTTTAAAATGTGTTATAGGGTTTAAGATCTCTTCCTTCTCATCATTTTTTCCTCATGTTCACATTTTTTTTAAATAAAAGGTTAGAGAGGTGGCCCTCATTCTTACTGTCTTGCTCTGAATGTCGACTTTTCCCGGCATACTTCAGAGAATCAGATTGGCTTCACAGTCATGACCTTATTGGCTTGGCCATTCCTGTCTGGACAGTTCTCCACATTGCTATAGTCATGCCATCTTTCTGGGTGCTAAGTAACATCCCTATGGGCTTCTTAACTCTTCTCACACTGAATTTTATCTTGCTTCTTGCTGTCTGTCCTTCCTGGCCCACCCCTGCCCTGAGGATGCTCTCAGCTGAGCTGTTCCTGTTGTGTCTGAAACACGTAGCCCAATAGCCCCCATGCTTGTCGGCCACCACAGAAATAACAGTTGCCACGCCGATCCTCTGTGGCCAGCAACACTGGTCACGGTGAAAGGCATCCTGGCTGAGAACTGCCGGCCCGGGGAACACATTGATTTAGAGTACAGAACTCAAACTCAGATTGAAATAGAAATTTTGGGTTTCTAAACAGACCTTGGGAAGAAACGATTTTCTAGTATTTCAACACTTTTTTTTTTCCTTCTTTCATCTCACCTTAATTGTAAGACAGGCATCACTATTAGGAAATTCTCAAATTGTTCTGGCTTTTCTGTGAATTTAGGCTATCTCCTTAATAAGTGTTTATCTGGCACTTAAAGCTGAGAACAAACAGCAGAGCTGGAATGATTAAGTAATTATGAGCTATTAAAAAAAAAACCTCAGGTCTTTGGAGATGAGATCATGGACACAGCAAGAGTTGGTGGGCAAGACCAAAAAAAAAAAAAAAAGCCTTCCCTCTTTTTTTTTTTTAATAAAATACACCATTCCTTTCATTGTCTTCCGTGAGTCCCGTTTTGTAGCCATATCATTTATTTAGAGATAGGAGGAATAAATGGAGTCCAAAAATACTTCACCCCGAGTCTCACCCCTGGGTTTCGCCATCTCTCCCACGGAGCTCCAGAGGAGCAATGCTGCCAGTGACTGGAGTTTCACCCCCACCCACCTGTGGTGGAGGTGCTGACAAGCCGTGGGAGAGTTGGAAGCCCAGAGCCAGGATCCACTACTCAGATCTTGGGCTTGCTGGAGACTCTCCAGCTGTGCAACAGGATGAACCCCATTCATGCCCCTAGCTATGAAGACCCACAGGAATGGTGGTGGCAGTGCTCCCCCTTAGCTGGGGTGGCTGAGTGTCACTCACTTGTGGGTGGCCCCCACTGACAGCTGAGAAGTCAGAGCTCCACGCTCTCTTCCTGAGGAGGTCATGAGATCTCAGCTCAGGGCCCATGTTATGAGAGGTCCCTGAGAGTCACGACAGGAGCCGTGGCAGTGGACTTCACCATTTAATCTTGTCCCAGATCCAAGGAAACAAACAGCACTGGAGTGTGCTTGGGGCTAAGGAGGGAGGTGTTCTGACAGTGAGAAATATAAGCTGGCTGTAGAAAGAGGCATTCTTGTAGACCTCCACTGGTAGACCAAGGGAGGCCATTTGTTTCTCCTTGATTCAACAGAGATTTATCAGGTCCTTCTGGGTCCCAGACATTGGAGAGTCATCTGAGAATATAACAGAAAAGGCTTCTGCCTTCCTGGAACTCACGTTCTAATGAGGAGGAGGTAATGAGCAATACACATTGTAAAGAAAAATCACAGGCTAGGCTAGAAATTGATCGGTATTATGGAGAAAAGGAAAAATAGTACCAGGAGATAATGTTGGGCAGATGGCAAGGCAGGTCAGGCTGTAGAACTAAATAGGATTCTTACTGAGAATATGAGATCTGAGCTGACTTGAGGAGGTGAGAGAATTGGCCATGGGGAGATGGGGACAGAGGGAACACAATACTCATCATGCCTAGTGTGGTCAAGGGTCTGCAGGAAGAGCTCTGTGCCTGGAGTGAGGCAGGGAGGCAGAGGCTTGGCCTCCTGGCCTTTGGAAGAACCTGGGCCTTTGGGGGGCCCAAGCAAAATTGGGAACCATCACAGTGTCTTGGACTGCCGATGGGCATGATCTGATTTACCACTTAAAAGGATTATCCTGGCTGCTAAAAGTTTCCTTTTTTCTGCTGGTATTCTATGAAGACCAATGTTAAAGGAGTTGTTTTATAGCCTCTGATTATCGTGTTTCCTTTGCATACCAATAGCCACAAATTGAATGTCTATGGAACTCAAAATGACAGGGAAAAAAAAAAAAGTGGAACCTAAGTATTTGAAAGAGGAAGGCCATTTAGCTTCTGCCACACCTATGGATTCCCAACAGGTGATCCCACAATTCCAGCCCTGATGCTGCCCTGATGGCAGGGAACCTTCGAAACAGGTGTGGTACAAATAAAGAAGGGGCACCCTGCTTCAATGACCGATCATGTTACCCAGTTACAACCGCGTTCTGTGCTTTTGCCAGGACTTTCCCCACCCACCTAAAAAAGAAGAAAAGATGAGTATTGGCTCTAGACTTTTTTTTATTACTTCCATGGTCTAGATAAAGTCCATCTATATACATGAATTGCAAAAGCATCTATTAACCTTCTGACACCTCATATTGAAAGTGCTTCCCCTGATTATCCAGATCATCTCAAAACCCAAATTAAATAAACAATGGAAACAAATAAGTATTCAAACAGCATGGAGTAGAAAGGCTCGCTGGCATGTTGGTTTAGTGGAATAAGCAGTGGCAGAGAGTTAACTTACCTAATCCTCACCACACCCTTCCCAGGCAGGAACTATCATCATTTCCTTTTTAGGGCCCGGGAAACTGAGGAATAGGGGAGCTAGGTAATTTGCCTGACATCCTATATCTGGTAGGAGGCAGACTGTGAACCCGAGCCATGTGACTCTGAAGTCTGTGCCTTTTCACCATTCTATGCAGTTGCCTCTCTGTACCAAGTCTCTGATGGTAAACGTGTTTCCTCGGTGGGTTCCTTCAGGCCTCTCCTTGGATGCTCCCAGAGGAGCAGGACTTGTGCTTAGATTAGCCTGGCCCTGGGTGTCCTGGACACACACAGAGACCAAGGACAAATGGTTGTCCTGGATGAGGAATGTGGATGTGGGGAGGCAGGGTCCCTGTCGACCACAAAAATTGGATGATGTTCCAGAATAGAATATTTGAAATCAAGATGATCTATAGAATCTTTGCCTGTGCTAGCAGCCGCCCACACCTTCCCTGTAGTGCATTCCTGCTCAGTCTCATCTACCATTGTCCTAGTTTTCTGTGAGGTCCAGGTGGGGCTGCATCTTCAAGGTCAGAGTGTCAAGAGAACTGAGGGGAACCCCCCCAGGCTCCAGCTACAGCAACCTCTGCTCTTCCACAGGCTGCATTTCCCTCCCCTTCTCCCCTCCTCACTTATCCTTCTCCTCTTCTATCTCCTCTCTTCTTTATCTCCCCATTTTTCTTCTGCTGCCCTCACTCCTTTCTTTGTCCATTCTCCCCCCTCTACTCCCCTGTGCTCTGGAAGAATAGAATGGAAGGGGAGATTTAGTAACATAACAATTATATTTTCCTCTTCCCCCACTCACCCCAACTTCAGGTTCTAGGAGAACAAAACAAAGCAACTTAAAACATTTAGGATCAAGTTGGGCTGGACATTTAAAAGAGGAATTGATTCTATGTAGGATCTCTAAGAGTTTCTGAAATTACCAGAGTGATAAGGGCTGGGGTTTCCTGTGTCATACAGTGATGAGAAAATTGTACCTTCTGGAGGCCTCTTAATGTGACTAGAAAGAGAGCTGACCAGAGGGGTTGCCCAAGGTGGAGACAAAGTAAGGCTGATAAGCCTCATTTGAGATTCTTCTCCATTCTCCACCAATACCCCAAATTTAATTTAGAAATAGACGCTGATACTGAAAAGACTACCATCTGCTCAAAATAAATGCACCAGGACATCTTTTAATTTAGGATTCTGCAAACCAAAGTTAGGAGTCTTGTTCCACATTCTCACAAACATACAGCCCTGCATTCCTTCTGCCTATTCTTTTGTTTTACACCGTGCCTAGGTGCTATTACCATCTGGGTGGGTTTCTATTTAAGGCTAATGTAATGTCAAGTTTTGCCTTATCTCAAATTCACCTTTCCTCAAACTAAGCTCACCTCTTGCCATTCCTGGCTTAACCTGGTTCCAGATAACTGATATTCCTGGGACTCAGACAATGAGAAGGAGAAGACTGCAGGGGGTAGTCAGAGTTTGAACACAGGGTAGGCCCTCTCAGCATGAGCCAACAGAAGTTTTGTTCCATTAGAGAAGCGGCTTGTGGAGGAGCACCTGTAGGTCTTGGGTATGTGCAGAATTTAAGTGCCTCCATTAATCCATGGAAGGAGACTTGATGACCATCTATCTACTCCACCCTCATTTTATAGGTGAGGAAGTCAGGAAATCCTAGAGAGGTCTTGCGACTTGCCAGGTTGTTGCAATTTTATATCCACCATTTGCATAAGTTCTAAACTCCTCAGCTTGGCTTACAGGGTCCTTTAGAACCTGTCCCCAGTCCCGTTGCTGCCTACACTTCCCACACCTTTACTTAGCATGACTTAATAACCTTGTTTTGCCGGAGACCCATGTATTCTGTCAGTAAGCTGGACTCTAGCCATATCGAACTTGAATGTGTCTGACACATGCTCTCTCTCCTCCTTAGAGCATGTCTCCCACCTCAAACCCATGATGCTTGCTTTCCCTGGTTAAGTTCTCATCCCTCAGGTTCTCAGCTTCAATGTCATTTCATCCAGGGAGGCTTCCTTGACTCCCTCTCCCCACTACCCCTGCCAGCAGTCCGGGTTTGGTGTTTCTGCCTCCATTCCCTTTACAGCCAGTACTTACTCATTGCTTTTCTCTCACATCATTGTAAGATTGGTGTAATTTTCTGTCTCTTGCTTTTGGTTGTCATGGGCCAGGCCCATGTTTGTGTTGCTCACTAGCATATTTCCAGAACATGGCTGAGGGCCTGGAATAGATGTTTAAAAAAAAAAAAAAAAAAAAAGACTGGATGGATGGATGGATGTTTGGATGGATGGATGGATGGATGGATGGATGACAAGAAGAGAGAGCAAGAACAATAGACACTGAATCACGAGATGAAAAGAAAGCAATCCTAAACTAATCTCAGGGGGTTGCTCTTCATATCTGCTGAGCTGTACTAAACTTCAGATTCAGCTTGGATTTATTGGTGGCCTGCTCTCTAGCCTCTGTGCTCCCGGGTTTCACCTAGTAGATCCCACTTTATTCATACAACAACCTAATGAGGCAGAGACTTTTATCCACCCTTTGCAGATACGGAAACTGGGGGCCAGAAGGGGGAAATGTGGATGGCAGGGTGGTGCTTGGCTACCATGACTGTGGTGTTCCCACTTTCCCCTTCACTACCCACCCCACCTCAGTGTCCCCCAGGCTGGGTGATCATCAACACAGCCCAGGCTTTTGCTCTCCCAGCTAGTGAAATTACCTTCATGGTAAAGTGCTCCTCTGGATGGTGTTTTCTTGGCTTCACTTGCTGCTCTAGCAGGCCAGTGTTATTTCTGGCCAATTTATATTTTCCCTTATGTAAGTAAAGGGGGCAGGATTGCTCCAATAAAATTTTATATGTGTTTCCTGCAAATGGATAATACAGTTGACATATCAAAGCATCTGTGAGCAAGGATCATCATTTTGTTCACAGAGCTCTCCATGCTGGCTCTGCAGCCCTCACCCTTCACCACCCTCTCCTGACACAATGACTCTAAGATGGGGAGACATCTTCCTAGCCACACCTTCATGTCAAAAAACACCTCAGCCAACTAACACCAGCTAGAGAACAGTTGATGGCAATTACAGGAATATTAGCTACACTAAGTTCTCTTTAAATAGCATTTTTTCCTGACAGAAGCCAAGACATTTGAGATCTGGCTTGGCATTCCATCCATAATTACTCTCATTGCACGCCTCCCCTAAATAATTCTCAAAGTGATATGAGTGAGCATGACATGGCAGCTGAGCTTAGTGTTTTCTTTTCTTTCTTTTTCTCTTAGCTGGTGTCCCAGCCATACCATGTTCTCCCCTCATGCACATACGTTGTTAGACTTACCCTTAATAGCTCTTCTGAGGAAACAATGTGACTTGGCAAACTCACTGTGGTTTCTGCCTCTTACTATGGGGCAAAGGAATAATGATCCCCTGTGTCTTTGTGAAAATTCTGAGGGATTCTGTCCCTGTCATGTTAGTCCCCAACGAGGGCATGTCTTCAGACTCTTTCTTCATGTCCTTTGCTGTAGAGAAGCCCTCAAATCTGTAGATTCTAGATGTTGCTTGTATGGTTCATGAGTGTTTAGGCAAGCAATTAAATTAAATCATCTGTAGTTAACAAATGAATCCAATTAGAAGCCATTTATTGTTTTTATAAAGGAATATGCCATTATAATCCTTGAAGTGATGGGCTTGAAATGTGATTTCTATTTCTGGTACTTTTAAAATATGGCTTGATTATAGACAGTTTATTTATTTATAACCTTTCGGGAACATGCCCATTACGTAAAGTGAGGGAAGCTCCATTTTGACATGTGGATTTATTTCTGCCTACATTACGAATGTGTTCCATTTTCTACTACAAAAAATACAATGCTTTGAACCTGCCTTGCTTTTCAAATGTTCTCTGCAACCATTTAAAAAAATGAATGTTGTGCATATTTTTGAAGTGGGAAGAATTATCTCGTTGAGTTCCCACCATATCAAATAGCATCCAGAGATCAGGGAGGGGTTGACTTCTGTACCTGTCATTTGGCTTTGCTCTGAGTCAGTTGAGGTTCTCTCTGGAATTGTGGGCCTCCTTGAACTCAGCTTCATGGGACTGAAGAGCTTAAAACCGCAGGACCTGAGGAGAGGTGGGTTTTTGAGACCAACCCCTCTGTTTCCGAAGAGGGCCTCTGTCTTTGTTTGGCTCTGGCCTCAGCCAAGATGACCTGATCCTGATGGACATGGTGACCCTTGCAGCCTTCTTGGAGGCCTCCTATGACAGTGCTTCCCAAACTTGCACATGCATAGCAGTCACTGGGGGGTTGTTGAAACAGTTTCCTGGGCTTGCCCCCTAGCATTTCTGATTCACTGGGTCAGAGTTGGCCCTGGGAACTTGCATTTCTAGCCAGCTCACAGGTGGTGCCCATGCTGCTGGTGTGGGAACCACACTTTAGGAGCCAGTGCTGTAAGAGGTTGAAGCCAGGCTTGCAGGGCTTGGTAGAAAGGTTCCGTGGGTCTTGACTGCATTTGGTGTTGGGGACAGGGTTGTAGGGAAAAGGGTAAAATTTACTCAGTTACATTCAACCTCTTTCAGCTTTATTTGGCATATGGTGGATCCCCAGCTCTAACTTCCCACATTTACCACTGTTTTATGTGATTTGTGCTGAGAAGTAATACTCATGGGCCAGTTATCTAGGAACTAGAGAAGTTGTTACTCCTGGATTCCATCGAATACTGGTCAGTTTTACAAATAAACTGCTTTTTTGAACTGTAATTTACATACCATAAAAACCAGCCATTGTAAAAGAGTGATGCAAGGATTTCTGGTAAATTTATATTGTGCAATAATCACTGTAGTCCAGTGTTAGAACATTTCCATTATCCCAGAAAGCTCCTTCAGAATCTGGTGCTTTTGAATGTTTATGAATTACATTAACGACATATTCAAGTACCTTTCCAATGAATAGTAATACTCTTAAAACCCCTCTCTATGTTCACATTGTTTTAGATTCAGTAGATAGAGCTCAGGCCTCCTGTTTCCTTTGTCACTGGTTAGTCTTCATAGAGAAGTTTGCATGCCACTTGCCCAAAATGAAATAACTCAGCCAGTGAGTATTGTAGCATCTATGGTGCCAATCATTGTTTTGCCATCTCTTACAATAATGCTTCATAAGTGTACTTCTCATGGTTTAAGAATATTCTCCAAGAGTCTATCCTAATCCAGTAGCCATCATGTGCCAGATGGTGCAGTAAAGAGGATGTACAGATGAAAAATATGTGGTTCCTGCCTTCAGGAGGCTCACAACTCTAGGAGGTGACACAAAAATGCAAACTAATAAATATAGTAAGATTCGCTAGGTAAGTCCCCCTATGAGGCATCTTAGAATAATGGCAGGGGAAATAAATAGCATGAAATTCTGTCTTTTTTTTTTTTTTTTGCATATACCCTGTGACTTTCTTGCTCCAGAAATTGCTTTCACCACCCCAGCTGAACTGTGAGATCCAAACATGTTGTCTCATGAGGGCCTTAGCAGAGACAAAACCTTTTCTGAAGAAGATGCTATAAGCAGAGCATCCCAGTAAAAGGATACAGTTTTAACATTGCTGGACCCAACTGTGGTGCATTGTCTGATGGTCTGTGTTTCACAGTGAGAATCAAGAATGGACGTAGTCCATAACAGCTTTCCTATACTGCATCAGGTATTTTGGAGGACATTGAAGAAACAATTTCTTGTCTCACTGAGAAGATAGAACTTCCACACCAAGAATTAAAGCAGACATGCAAATATTTGGTAAAGTTCTAAATTAAATGTAAGCCAGGCCCAAACATCTAGCACACATAGTGAAGGCCCTGGGAAATGAGGCTTGCCTCCCCCAAAGCAGGACTGCCGAATGCAAAATGCCACGTCCACAAGAGGGGCGGGCAGAGCACAGGGATGTTAGGGAATGTTGGGTTTCACAGGCTAAATGCCACTGTAAGGTACAGCATCATGATAAAGGGGGCTTTCTTTCCCCTCACATATTTGGACTAGACTACCACTTATTTCTGTGTATTGACTAAGCTTCTCAATTTGAATTAGCTGTATAGAAAATAAATGATCATAATGGATCATAGTGAAGTAGAGAAGACCCACAGTTTATTAGTTATATTGCTACATTTACTGGTGGTCACTTTTTAAAGCTTTCTCCATTTATGACAGAAAGGCAAGGCACTTAATTTCCTTGGAATGTTATGTATAATCTTTGGTGTGACCATGACATAATGTTATTTGAGAAGAAAAATGGGCATAGAAAAAAAAAAAATGTCTTAACCTTAGCAATTTCACACAAAAAAATTCTTTTTCAAAATCCAGTATTTTCCCTAATTTTCCATACTTATGAATTGGGCGTGATTACACATACCTACTGTCCCCTAAAACCTATGCCAGGTGCGAGGATCATGGCAGAAGGGCCTTGTCATGCCACCCTTTTCCCTTTCTCTGGAGGCCTTTGTGAGTGAGACCGTGTGTGCACCCGGCAACTGGTGGAGCAGTGTGCCTGCTCTTCCCTAGACCTAACCACCTCTGGTTTTGAACATTAGGCTGGTCAGAGAGCAGTGTCAGTCCTCCTCCTACTCCATGGCCAGCACCACAGGCAAGCAGTCCAAATGACAACAGCCCTGCAATGAAAGGTGATACAGTGTTTTATCCCCTGGAGATGACAGCTGCCTCAACTGGCCCAACACTATTTTCTGTCTTTCTATACTAGTTTCTGTTTGAGCTCCCGAGGGTGCAGATCAGGGGCTACAAGGGTGGAGAGTTTTGCATAATCCTGGGAATTACATTCTGACTTCTTCTGGCCGCAGTGTCTTAATTCAAAATTCCCTTTATCAAGCCAAATGAGGAGGCATCAAATACCCATCCCCACATGACTGGCTGCTGCCCAAGATGAGGTGCTGCAGCAAGGTAGGGAAGGCCACCGAGGTGTGCTATCTTTAACCGAAAACACCATTGCCACCACCAAAAGAGGCATTTAATTACTGCTCCTCAGAAAGAGCAGGTGGTCCTTAGTTGTCAAAGGAGGGCCTTTCTTTTTTATTTTATTTTATTTATTTATTTGACAGAGATCACAAGCAGGCAGAGAGGCAGGCAGAGAGAGAGAGAGGGGGATGCAGGCTCCCCGCTGAGCAGAGAGCCCGATGAGGGACTCAATTCCAGGACCCTGAGACCATGACCCACTCAGCCACCCAGGCGCCCAAGGAGGGCCTTTCAAGCTCATGGGGCTGTTCTTTTTTGAGATATGCCCCCAAAGAGAACATGTGCTCAACTGAAGATCTCTGTATTTACAGCTGCCTCTCTCTTCCTTTGGTCATCATCCACTTTACCTGTGTTGATCACAGGAAGTATTCCCGTGATGTTCTGATAGGTACTGTGCAGTTGCACCTGGCTTCCCAGACTCCAGCAGTGGAGGTCTAGGTGAGGGCTGCCCCCGAAGTACAGTCACCTAACTTTCCTAGCAAGGCCATAGCGATCTCTGAGGGCTGCCCTAGAACTTTGGGAAATTAGGGGGAAGAGGAAGTGGGTATAGCATATCTTTGCTGGAGACATCTTTAAGATATCCTAAATTCCCTATCAAGACTACAAATAGGCTCACCCTCTTTAAATCAGTTTTGCCCCATAGATTCCTATATGACCTCCTACATGACTAAGATGACTTATTCCCTTTTTAAAAAAGTTGTTGCCACTCTACAACCCAACCAAACTATATTGAGATCTCTTAAGTCCCTATCATATCAAATTAAGCCAAGTGTTCTGCAGGCTAATTGCACATGGAATTCAGTTAATGTTAAACAATAATAACTTGCATGTTACCAACTAGCCTTGTTTGCAGTAATTATATGTCTATAATAGATATATTGATTATATTATGATAAAGTAATCTATGAGATTATATTAAAAAAAAAAAAGACGGGAATCAGAAGTATACCATGATTGGCACATTATCTTACCATTTCAGTGTCGATTGCATGAAAAGACCAAAGGCCTGTTGATGTGAGATAATCCCACCACCACTCTCCCATTACTCTGGCATAACCTCTCAGCAGGGTGTCCCACCAACATTTTCCAAGACTCTTTAAGCCAGATGGAAGCACATTCCTAACTGCACTCAGCGAGGATAACCTGTCAGACATTTTCTTCATGCTTTTGATACTCCCACCTGTTGGGGAAGGGAAAACAGCCTGGGTCATCCAAGCCAATGAACTCCGATCCTCATGTGGAATGATTTATATAGAGAAGAGCCCCCAGCATATGTAGAAATCACTTGCATCAGGCACCCATTTGGAAATATTCTCATCTGGAAAAGAATTTGGTTCTCTAATTGTGGCATTCGGGAAGTTAGGTCAGGGGGTTCAGAGAAAGAGCAGCTGAAGGGAGTATCCAATGAGGGTGAAATGGAGGGGATGTGGGGACAATTTAGGGCCCAGCGGGAGAAGGGGGCATGTCAGAGGCCTCCCTCCTCTGACAGGAGAGGGTGGAAGAAGGCAGTGACCCTGAAAAAAAAGGAGCAGCCAGGCCTAAGTGCCAACCCTCCTCTTGGCCTGTTGCTTTGAAGTCTGAGAAGAGTGGCCACAGTGTTTCCCTTGACCCAGCAGATCTGAAAAGATTCCTCCAGTGGACACTGGAAGGCACCTTGCTTCCTCAGCCATTCAGTCTGATTTCTTGAAATCACAGTAGTATTTCCTGCTTGTGTTGAAGCAGCATGGTCTGAGGTTTGGGGCGGCTCGGTGGGCGGTGCCATCCGCTGGCATGGGGTACAGGTGTGGCTTAGCACTGGGCGCGTTCTTCACTGAGCTCTAGGCCGTGGTTCAGAAACGTTTCTCGGCCAACCCACAGGGAGATCTGGAATTCCCTAACTGGTTTTAGAGGCAGAGTGTAGCGGGATTTGTCTGACTGAGCCACACAGCACCCTCCCTTTCCAACAGGAGCCTGGAGGCCACACGACAGAGGTGGGCCTTTGGAAGCGACCTGCATTCATGTTTTCTCTTCTCTCTCCAGAGCCTGCGAAGGCTGCCTCGGACCTGACTGCCTGGTTCAGCCTCTTCGCTGACCTCGACCCATTATCAAATCCTGACGCTGTGGGGAAAACTGATAAAGAACACGAATTGCTCAACGCATGAGTCTGCAGCCTCACAGAGGGAGCCCACGTGCCACTCCTCGGCCACACACCTGGGGGCACGCAGACATATGAAGTGATCAGTATGCTGTTTTAATATTTACATGCCATTTTAATAAAATGAGAGGGTCAGAGGCCCTGTTTATATTGGTATAATTATTTACTCTTATTTGATATAAAGGGTTGAGTGTATTCTCTATGTGGATCTAACAATACAGGATTGCCCAGGAACAGTTCCTATGCTGCCTGCTCTCCTGCCAACACCTGCATCATGGCTGCTGATGTGTCACTGGGATACTGTGAGATCCAAGTTCAAATCATGAACCTGCTCTGTCTTAGGTTTAAACAATGAGTCCTGTCCAGAGGCAGTGGGAGGCTAACAGACCTTAAATGCCTCCTTGTGTACCCCCTGCCTCTGCCCCTTTAGAGGGGTCTGCAGGAAGACTCTCTCTTCCTGCCGAGCACCTTCCAGTGAGCTCCGGGTGAAGACCCGGCCAACCAAAGACACTCTTCCCCATCCTTTGCCGGGTGGGCTGTGTGTTCTCACGTGGGCAGGGGACCTGGGCTGGTCTCCACTGCACGAACCTTTCTGTGGAAAGCAGCACAGCTGCAGACGCCAGTGTCTCCATTTGTCTTCTCCATGGCTGGAATTCAAAAGCATGTATTTCTGGAGTCCCTTGTGATATTAACTTTTTGTTTCTTTTTTAATTAAATGGCAGAGATATTTGACATGCGAAGGCAAGTTAATAGAGTCTGTTGTGGGGATTCATTGGGGGAGGTGCCATGGGCGTGGGGACTGGAGAGGGAGGAAGAGGACAAGGACCAGTCCCATCTGCATGAAGCTGTTGACATGATCCCGTGCGTCGCCCACATACAGTACAGGGGAGGAGGGCATGGACTCTTGTTGGCTCAGGCAGAGATGGGAGCAAGTTTTGCGTGGGGGCATGTAAGCAGATCAGACACTCCACCCATGTGGCCCTGAGTGGGGGCGAGGTTGATGATTAGCAAGAATTGGTCCTACATGCCCAGCTGGGCCAAGGAGGTCTCTGCTGCACTCTTGCAAGCTTCAGTCTCCAGCTCTGAAATGGTCTCCTGTGGCTCCTTCCCCCAACATGGGAATGCGGCTTCTCTGCTCTCTGTGGTGTGCCTTCATGGAAGGACCTGGCCACCATCCTCTGCAAGACAGCCTTGGGGGACTGGAAAGCATTCTCCTCCTCTTCTTCCATGCAGGAAGAGACCTGAAGGCGAGTTGGGGCTGGGACTCAGTGTGTTATGTGGCTGGTGTAGGTCTGCTCACTTCCTGGCCAGACCAAACTCTAGAGTCTGTTTGTAAGAATCTCACTTAATGACTCCTTAGCCTGCCACTCGTCGTCTTTGAGGATATCAGGATACAGCCCTGGGGCCCTCACCCACCCTCCCACACATACACAGGTCTCCATTCCTGGCGTATGCATTTACTGCACACACCACCCAGGATGGTCCCCTCTCTTCAGCCTCAGCTGCCATCACATCCCGACTTGCCCCTCAGGAGCTCCTCATGTCCCACCTCCTTCAAGTGTAACCTGCAGTTTTCCTTCAAGGACCCACCCCTCATCTCTCCTTCCTGCCCTTGTCTGTCTCATGGTTGGCACATGTTTGGTCCTCTGCCCGGCCTGGGAGGCCTATGTGTATGCATCTGCCTTTACCACAAGGTGTTGCAGCCCCAGAGCACAGGGTTGTTGTTTCCCCAAATCTTCCGTGTCTCCCTAGTGGTAAGCGCCCTGGAGTCACCTGATAAGCACTGGACTCATGAGCTGAATGGAGCTGCCCTGTGTGGAATGAGGAGTAAGGATTCATCATATCCTCCTGGGTCACATTTGCTAATAGCCGTGGAAGTCCACAGCAGCAGCAGGAAGGAGACCAAGCAGCAAAGCAGGAGGGGTGGACTGGCTCCATCCAGGCTGGAGGCACAGGGAGGGACTTGGTGGGGTGGGGGATTGGAGGGCCAAAGGGCTGTGGAGTCCTCTGTTGAATGGATCACTTGAAATACTAACAGGTGGCATTTTAAAGTTGGTCTGTGGGTGAAGGGGAGTGGAGGATCATGGTAGTTGAACAGGCTTTGCTACAAGTAAAAGAATACTGCACATGGAGGCATTTTCTCTCTGAATTTTCTTTACATTTTTGTTAAAAAAAAAAAAAAAAAATTCAATTCCTGTTCCCATCTGCAATCCTCTTGGCCAGGCTCTTGATCCCTCTTGATAGGCGTGTTTTGATCCTGGCTCGCACAAAGGCCTCTCGGCCACCTCTCTACTTTATTAAGGAGAAGCAGCTGCTGGCTTATTCTCTTTTAAGCAGTCTGTGTGCTGCACAGCCAGGGGGCTTCCTTGGGGGCCCACTTCGGGTTCCCTCCCCAGCCTCCTGTAGAAGGACCTCTGTGGCAGGAAGAAGACAAAGGTGCCCCACCCCCTTCACGCCCCGTCTCGCTACTCCCTCATTTTCATCCCTTGTCTCCAGGCAGGTCTGCACCACAATTGCATGGAACCCTCAGGGAAATTCAGAGAGCACCTGCTCCTCGAAAACTTCCCTGCTCTTTTAGGTGGTCTGCAAGTCTCCCTTCCTTTCTCCTGCTGTCCCAGCCAATATATAAAGAATATTCAAATTTAAGGGAGAGAGCCAGAAACATTTCTCTTTCCCCCTTTCTTTTTCTCCCAGCTGGCATGGGCTCTGGTGCACTTTATAGATTCATTGCCTTCAAAATGTAATTTTAGAAATGTCAGGTTGATTTTGAGTTGTGTGAGAGTGAGAAAAGCATCCGTCAGCTTCAGAATTAGAAAGGCACCAACTTAGAACTTTTTGTTGGAGGCTTATGCCCAAGAAAACATGGTCTGCTCAGAGTTGGCAGCCCCGAGAGCCCTGGGTTGCCCGTGGGCATGTAGAGGGGGCTCACCATCATGTCGTAGCCAGTGTGACATGAGATGGGGGGCAGGGCAGAGGACCCTGAGCTTCCATGGGAGTCTGCCTAACCATTAGGGTCAAGATGCCTTCTGCCCTTGCCTCAGCTCCAGGAGCCAGCTAACTGAGCTTCATGCTTGCCTCTCTCAGACTCCACTGCTGAGAGATCCCTCCTGAGGGGCCGACCCTGGCAATGGCTTGGGGTTTAACTATTGGCACTATTGATTTTGCCAATATTCCCAAGCATGTCTTTGTGATTAACTAGTGTCCTCCAGACAGGCCACGGCAATTAGTCCTTTGATTCAAACCATCTCTGGTCCTCTGATTGGCACCACGCACAGTGCAGTGTGCAGGTCTCTCCAGCTTTGTTGAAAAATAGACTTCAGCTTGGAGCCAACTTCAGTGATTGGCAGTGGCTGCCAAGAATTCCGCACAGAGAAGGATGCTGATAAATGAGAGATGTTTGTGCTGGGGATAGGGCAGGCAGTGGCAGCAATCATCCTGTGTGTTTCCCAACAGCACATTAGACCTTGTCTCTCATGGGGGCTTTTAGAGTTTACTATTACAACTACAACTACAACTTCTACTACTCTCTTCTTCTTCTTCCTCCCCCTCTTTAAATAAATAACTAGGATTCTAGAACCCTAAGAGAGGTTTCTCAAAAAAATATAAAAAATAATTAACCCTAATTCGACTTTAAAAAGTCATTTAAACAACAACAACAAATGAGGATGGATTTACTTGCTCTGTTAACTGAAAGTTCTAGGTTATGCCTCAGGCACAGCTGGATCTAGGGGCTCAGGTAGTGGTCTCAGCAATTTCCCCCTCTTAAGTTTCCCCTTTGATTCCCTCTGTGTTGCTTCATTCTAACAAACTTTTCATAAGGAGGCAACATGGGCACCGGAATCTCCAGCCAAAGTCTTGGAGTTGAGCCTGCCTTGAATCCTGTGTCCGGTCTTCAGTCGGCCCCTGGAATCAAGGTGGGTGGGGGTGGGATATAGGCTGTTTTCCCAGCTTTTCATAGGCCTGAACCTGGAACCTGACCCTCAAGGACTAGGGATGGAGAAAGGATGATTCCTCTAGGGGAAGGTGTGCTGCTGATATCAGAGGGATAGATGGATCCTTGGGCAGGAAAATGCCAGGTGATGCACTCTAGTTTCCACTGGAATGACCTTGAGGACACACTTGTATATTGTTTCTGGAGGGGTTGTGGGGCCAGGAGCCTGAAAGAACTGGAGTGTTTCCAGAAGCCCCTTTGGAGGTCACCCACAACCCTGGGACTTGAAGGCTTTGTGTGTAGCTCTTCTATAGCTGATAACCAGGAAGTCAGAAGGGACCACAGAACTGTTTGCATCCAACCTGCTGATATCCAGATAAGAAAACTGAGGGACGTATTTTTAAAAACTATAAATTAGTGGGAAACCGGATTAGAACCCATATTGCCTAACCGCTGAGCCACAACTTCTTTTACTTCCAGGGGTTTGCTAGAAACGGAGAGCTGAAGAAAGGAATTCAAAGACACACAAAACTCTTTTTTTTTTTCCTTTTTTTTTTTAAGATTTTATTTATTTATTTGAAACAGAGAGAGATCACAAGTATGCAGAGAGGCAGGCATAGAGAGAGAGAGGAGAAAGCAGGCTCCCCGCTGAGCAGAGAGCCAGATGTGGGCCTCAATCCCAGCACCCTGAGATCATGACCCGAGCCGAAGGCAGAGGCTTAACCCACTGAGCCACCCAGGCGCCCTTTTTTTTCCTTTTTAAAATATTTTTATTGTGTTATGTTAGTCACCATAAAATACATCACTAGTTTTTGATGCAGTGTTCCATGATTCACTGTTTAAGTACAGTTCCCAGAGCAATTACCAGTGCTGCATGCAGTAGGTGCCCTCCTTAATACCCACCACCAGGCTCACCCATCCCCCCACCCCCCTCCCCTCTAAAATCCTCAGTTTGTTTCTCTGAGTCCACAGTCTCTCATGGTTCACAAAACTCTTTTTTAAGAACCCACATATTTTCTCTCCTCTCAACTCTGTCTCTCTCTCTCTTTGTTTGCCTATTGTTAAACACACTCTTGGGGGATGCACTCCAGGGCAGCAGTGTAGGGCACTTGTGAAGAGTTAGGGTTCTGAAGCTGGAGAAATCTGTGGCCAAGCCTCCCAAGTTGAGGCTCCACCAGCTTAAGTCACAAACCCTCTCTGCGCTTCTGTTCTCTCTTCTTCTCTAATA